AACCCAAGAGTTAGTTTAAGAAGCCAATATCAAAGGTACTTATACCTCAATAAAATTAATCTCACAACACCCTGGAACAAAATTGGAAAAGACCCGCAGCAGTATCACGAAGATGCTGGCGACCAATCAGTTTATTTGAAACTGCGCCGTCGCCGAAGCGCAACAATCAGAGGGAGAGAGAGATCACCAAAGCAAACTCTGCTAAAATAAAAATTAAAGCACTACCAACTTGATACAACTTAATAGCAACGTCGTCGATCACGAGACGTACCATACAGTTGCAGAATCCTTCTTCTCCCCGTTTCTATCCCGTAGGAAAACTGGGATAAAGGGAACGCCCATTGCCCCCCCTTTCCCACGCGAGTAGTAGCCCCCCTTTTGCATTTCGTTGCTAAAAGTGTAGGCCCCCCCGTCATCGCAGCCAGGGGCGATGCAAGCGGTTGTGCCCCACCACCACGATTCGTCTTCATTTTGATACTTAATTATTTTGCGGCCGGCGAATAGGCGCCATCAAATTGCGCCTTAATTAGAACCGTTTTAATTAAAATTGTCGAGGGTGCGCCGTTAAACGAGACGCCGCCGTCGAGGCAAGGCGCGCGGGGAACTGGGGGCGGCTACGTCACCTTCCCCCGAGGTGGTCGCGGTTATTACAAGCTGCGAGCGGGGACCGTTTAGCGAAAGAAAATTCAATTTATCGCGTTACTTTGCAATTTCTTTTACGTTTTTTAATTAACCTTTTTATACTTTTTGGTGTTTCGTGTTTATTCTCTTTCAGAGTTTTTAGACTGATACATATTTATAATTATTATTTATATAAATAATTATTTAAAACTAACATTATTAAAATAATCATAAAAATAAGTTCTTATCTTTTTTTTTGAAAAGGTTTTAAATTGGCACTTCCCATTTGACAGTTAGCATAGTACTCGACCTGAACTTTTAATAAAGTCCTTTTCCAATGAGGGGAGAACTTCGTTAAGTACCACTGTGGTAAGTTAACGCCTCTGGATGCCGGGCGGGATAGAACGGCACCACCGTTTCTCCCCTTCCATATAATAGGAAGAAAAGCACAAAGGACTTTGAAAAGGGAGGGCGAAGCCTCTTCGAGGGTAGCGCAGATTGCGTATGCACCCCCCTTATAACCCCGAGAAAGTCCCACCTCTCGCGATTATCCCAATTCTTGGTAAGAACAGGCCGCCATGTTTCCTCCCGTAGGGAAACGTTCTTGGGGTCTCCCTGCCTAAAGGTTCTTTCCCAAGGCGCTTCCCGAAATTGGTTTTGAACTGATGCATTAATTGACAATTTGATGTCATTCTTCGTCCCGGCGTTAGCTAATGGCGTGCTGAAGCTGTGCCCCAAATTGAGCGAATCTAATAAAAAAACTTTTCTGACGTCCGCCTCATCCTTTTACCTCGTATGGAGAGAGCGCGGAAATCCACGACCCCAAAGTGGCACCCTAACTTCATTTTCTATGTTATTGTTGTTGGTGGTGTGAGTAAACGGTGCCGTTAGTGTTTCGGAAAACATTCCATTAAAGACTGATTTATCAGGACAAATTATTTTACGTCCAATATCGTTCACGTTACCATTTTAAATGCTTAATTATCAGGTAATTAGTGATTACCGAATCAACGGGCGGCCTTATTGTTTACGCTTATACTCGCCATTAGCGGTAATTAACTCTCGCAACAAATTGATTTTGGGCAAATAAACCGGATGACGCGATGCGCCGGCTCCGTCGGTTTCACGAAATTGGACGTATTTTAGGTTGTCTGTTTTGTATGTTGATTCGGGATAATTTTATATAAATTGGTTATTTTTAAATTCGAATTTATGTTGACTATGTTTTTTGTTCTATATTAAAACATTGTTGATATGATACTTCAATCTAACGCTGAATAAGAACTATAACAAGAACTAACACTAGTATTAGAACTAACACTAGACCTAGAACTAGAAACATTCTGGTTTAGCCGTTCTTAAGACGGCTAAACCGGAATGCTAGAATCATTCCAGCTCTAGTGTTACTTCTAGTTATAGTTCAATAAATATAGACAATAATCTAGCACTGAATACCAAGTACAACTAGAACTAGCACTAGAACTATTAAATAGATAATATTAATACAGTCGAACCTGGATAAGTGGGATCTCTGGGAAACAACTTTTTTCTTTACGTTTCTTCTCGGCCATCAAAAAAAAATTTTTAAATATTCATAGCTTTTCGAGCTTCCGGTCTGGTTATTACTGGATTTTGTACTTCTGGTTCTTCAACATCCTGTTCATCTTATTCCAAGTTTTCATTAAGATAAAGTTCCAAAATGTCGTCTTCATTTAGATCTCCGCAAATACTTAAACCATGCAAAATTTATGAAATAACATGCAGTGATCTGATCTTCACATCTTTCAGTAACAGTCATCCATTCGTCTTTTTTTGAAATACAACTTTTTTGAAACAATTAGCAATTGTTTTCTCGGTTACTTTAAACTAGTGGTGGAACGGCAAATATCCGGCAAATATCTGGTATCCGGCCATTTTTTAGAATCCGGCAGGATACTAGGAATTTTTCAGTTTTCGCCGATTAAGTTTTAAATATTCGTATAAAATCCACTTCTAGGAATATGAGTATGAAAATTTCCCAAAGTGTTAATAAAACTGTCCTCTTTCCAATAAACCAACCCGTTTTGAAAAACAACTTTTAGTTTTTGAGAAACCAATATTTGAAGTTTTGATAAAATTTTCGATGTTGCAATTTTCATCGATAATTTTCAAAATTCGCTATAAAATTAATTTCTTGAAAGATCCTTGTGGAATTATCACCAATTATTAATTAAAGTATCCTCTTTTTAATGCAACAAGCCGTTTTGAAAAATCACTTTTAGTTCTTGAGAAATAAATTTTTGAAATAATCGACAATTTTTTCGAATTTTGCAATTTTCGCCGATTAAGTTTTAAAAATTCGTATAAAATCCATTTCTTGGAATATGAGTATGAAAATTTCCCAAAGTGTTAATAAAAGTGTCCTCTTTCCAATGAACCAACCCGTTTTGAAAAATAACTTTTAGTTTTTGAGAAAACAATATTTGAAGTTTTGATAAAATTTTCGATGTTGCAATTTTCATCGATAATTTTCAAAATTCGCTATAAAATTAATTTCTTGAAGGATCCTTGTGGAAATATCACCAATTATTAATTAAAGTATCCTCTTTTTAATGCAACAAGCCGTTATGAAAAATCACTTTTAGTTTTTGAGAAATAAATTTTTGAAATAAATACAATTTTTGATGTTGGAATTTTCCGGGATCCGTGATGCCGAATATCCGGTATCCGCCTTTCGCAAAATCACTATCCGTTCCATCACTGCTTTAAACCAAGCCTGCCTAGCAAAGCTCATAGCTTGCAATAAACTTAATCCCGTGGAATTTCTTCTTCCCATACATTTTAGTATGTGTTTGACAACAATTTGACGAAAAAAACTTTGGATAATACCTTGATCCAGTGGTTGTAATTTACTGGTTGTGTTAGCAGGAAGAATCGAAACTTTGATGCTCTTTAATTTAGGAATGTGCTTGTGAGCTGAGCAGTTTCCAATAAAAATTTTCATTTTTTGTTGTTTTTCTTGTTTAAACCCAATAATCAACCCCGAAAAATAATGGAAGTCATCCACGAGTTTTTGTAATTTATAGGTAGTGCCTTAATATTTTGGAGACATCTTGGTTTCTTTGATTTTCCAATCAAAAGCAATGGTATTTTTCTGTCCCATCTATATTGGCGCATAACAATAATGTTACTCGTTCTTTGTTTGGAACCATAACAATCGTAGTTTTTTAAACAAATAGTTTTGACAGGAAGACATTTCAAAAATAATCCAGCCTCATCGGCATTAAAAATGTTTTTCGGTTCATATTTCCTTAGAATTTCAGGTAAATCATTAATCCAAGCATTACAAACCGTGTTATGAACAGATTTGCTCTCACCACAGATTTTTTTGAATCATTCCTCTTTTTGTAAGCTTCTATCCACCCATTACTGGCAACAAAATCTTGAAGATTTAACTTTTTTGCAAAATCCTTTTCTTTTAAATTGTTACCATTTATGTATTTTGTGAGTTACACTATGCTCTATTCATTTTGTTAAGAATTTGGGTGATTCATCTGAAAATTTATTTGGATCTGCTAAAATTCGTCCAAGAGTTGATCATGGAACCTTAAATTCTTTTATTAATTCACTCCTACACGTTCGACTGTAGTATGACTTTAAAATATTTTGTCCGTTCTAACGATATAAATAACATATATCGAAGTTTTTCTGTTTACATCAATTGTAACATCACTACCCTAACGATATCACAAAATAGTGTAAATTATAGTGTGTCGTTAAAGACTCAAAAAGGAAATGCATGCAAATGATGTTACGGTAATGGACACTGGTAATACGTGATGATAAATTTTTAATGAATCAAGTCGTTCGTCGACCAACACATAGCCACCCTCTTTTTTCCTCAAAATAGAAAGCTTTTACTGTCACAGGAGGAAAACAAATACGTAATTCGGTATAAATCAAAGATAACATCGATAAATTGAAATTACCTTCGTGGCGGAAAAGATAATGGCAATAGAAAATTGTTGAAATTCGAGGCGTATGGGTTAGGGTGAGAGGGTCATTAATTTTCTGTTAACGATTTTTCAATTTACACTGTCAGAATAAATGTATGACAAAATCTAGACGGAAATAAAAATAATAAAACAAAAAACGTTTAATGCGCATAAAGAGTTTGCTAAGCAATCAATTGTATCCATTAAGATACATTACGGTATTTATCATGGTTTAGCTATTTACTACCTAACCATTTAATATCATTAATCGTTCCATTTTTATTTACTGAAATCTACATAGCACTTTACTTTTACCCTATGTAATTAACGTACAAAAAGTAATTAGAGTTATCAGTTGTGCCATCGAAATGAATGCTTTATGTTGAACTTTTTTTTTTGTTTCAGGTATGGTTTCAAAATCGACGAGCAAAATGGAGACGCCAAGAAAAAATGGAAGCTGCTCGTTTGGGTCTAAGTGAATATCACGCTGTTTCCTCCCTAACGAGAGCAGCCGGATCGAGTTTAGCTTTGCCAATGGACCCATGGTTATCACCACCTCTTTTAACGGCTTTACCCGGATTTCTCAGTCATCCACAAACTGGTTACCCCAGTTATTTAACATCACCACTTCCAACAGATCCAAACAGACATCCGCCTGTGGCACATTCTCATTCGCCGAATACAAATCCAGATTTACGAACAACATCAATAGCCGCTTTAAGGTTAAAAGCGAAAGAACACGTGGAGAACATCACCAAAGGTCTTCAAATGGTGTAATAATTTAATATGATATAAAAGGGACAACGTGTAAATATTTGTCAAAAAATTAGTGTCGTTTGTGTGCCTATTTTTCTTTTTTTTTTTAATTTTAACTTGTACATATTCGTGTATTATATTCTAGTATCGAGTAAGGATTGATTCGAAATAAGTTATCTGTGTACATTATAAAAAGAAGAAAAGAAAAAAGAAGGCGCAATTATTAAAGACAGTGCAGTTTAGATATTTGTAGAAGTTACGGAGTGTATTAAGAAAAAAATTAAAGAAGTGTGTTATGGATATTTTGGATAAACGTATGCAAGAGATTTTAAAATTTCTTAATTTTATTAAAAAATATAAAGTTAAGGTAACCATAAAATACCTTTCACTTTATGACATTTCGTGCAATATGGTTATTTCTAAAACGAGATATACAAAGTAAAAAATCTCTTGCAAAAGTTTTCCAATAAACATTTTTAAACACTTTAACTTACAGAAGTACGATTTAAATTAATACTCAAAAACATTTTTGTATGAAATATCAACCCAAAAGTAAAATTTTCATGTCAAATTTTATATTAACATTTCTTCAAAATTAATTAATTAACTTGATTGATGTTTTCTCGTGCGAAAATGTAGCGTAGATTAATAGTTAGCCTCCCATTATTGTTGGAGCATCGAACGAATAATGACGAAGAAGTACAAGTAAAACCATGCAGTTAAAGAAGAAAGAGGTGGAAGTGATGGGCACTGATGATTTAATTACCCTCGATAATTGTTTCCTTTTAGAGCTGTGAATTTTTGTAAATAAAGCACAATAAACTATATTAATTAAAAGGAATCTTGCATTTTATTTCTTTTTATAGAATTTTCGTGACCTTTTGATGTCCTTTTATAATCAAAATTAAAATTGTTATCCGGTTCTCCGTTAAAATAGAAACAAAACTAAAAGAAAACCGAGAGAACGGATTTAATCATCATTTTAACGAATTATTAAGTGGTAATGAACGACGGAAATAAAAGTAAAAAGGAAAAACTGTCATTTGCAACTGCTTTTTCTTTCATCGGCGAATTTCTTCTTTCTCTTTTTAGCCATCTCTCTCCACCATTTAATAAGTGCAGTTTAGTTAATACGGTGGAGATCAAAGAGCTCTTCAGTTTTAATTCCACTTTATCTGGAGGGCGTAGAGTGCCGGGCTAAGGCAATAAAATGCTAATACGTGTTTGTCGTCGTTAATCAGCCGTCACCGGCGGGTCCAGAAAATAGAAAGAGGGATGATGAGAATCGAGGAAATGAGAAAGAGAGAGAAAGTTGAGAAACCTCAAACTTGCCTTTTACGTAACAGTTAGATTTGTCCACCCCTTCCTTTTCGGCGATCAAGGGGAGACTTTTGCACGATTGAGAAATTTAATTGAAATTATTTTGAATAAGCCGAGTTAATTTGCATTTTACCAAAGATAAACTCGAGTTACGGCGTTTGGCGTCGAGTTTGCAAAGCGTCGTCGTCGCTACCACAGTAAGATTTTAATCGCTTAATTTAATAGCGTGTACCATGCGACGACCTCGTCGCACGCCGTCAACTTTACTACTAATTTATCCAGGACCGGATTGTTATACAAATTAGACAATAAATGTTTATATATAAAACCCTAATTTTAACCATCCTACCATGCTTTATACCATCCTAAGTTATTTCATTTCAAAGCCGTGCAATGTTAAAAATAAATCTTGTATCAAAATGTTGTGATAACACTTTTACGCCTTAAAAGTACTTAATTCATAATACGTATTCTTCATTTTCTGACGTCACAACCCTTGATTGGTTTTAACCTGCTCAATGATCTTCCATTTTGTCTTATCACCAAACAACTGATTTCACCGCCTAACTTCCATTCTTTTCAAATCTATTCATCTTTAACACTTATTCGTCGCACGTGTCCCATCTATCCCAGTCTCCTACTTTTAATGAACATGACAATATCGATTCAAAGTAATTTACAATCAATACTGACAAAGCTAGGTATTCCAAAAAAACTCGCCAGAAAGTCGGAACCATTTGCCATTGATACTGGTATTTAGATAAGACGATGCACTATCAACGTTACTGTTCAATCTAACATTACAATATGCAATTGGTGGTTCAGAAAACGGAGGCAGTATATTCAATAAGGTATATCAAGTGATTTGATACGCAGATGACAAAGTAATAATGGCCAAGAAATGAAGGCATAGAAACATACTAGAATGTCCAGAAATGAAAAAAGAAGAACTCCATTACCTTGGCATTTTATTCAGAAATGATGATAGCATACAACACTGCATACAAGACAGAATAAGTCAAAACTGCTGTCTATCAAGTTAAAACTATTGGTATATAAAATGATAATAAGACCGGTTGTCACATATGGAAACAAAGTCTGGTCGTTCACAACAAAAGATAACAATAGCCTAAAGATATTTAAAAGAATAATGTTACGAAAAATTTCCGGTGCACAATATCATAACGGAATGTACTTACGTTGTATTAATGAAGAATAAAACAACCTTGTCGAAGGAGAAAAGCAAACCTCATAGAATAAGATGGGTCATATCTTAAGAATGAGTGTAACCAGGAAAACAATGAAAGTATTTGCAAGCAAACCAGATATACCAAGAAATAGAGGAAGACCTAGAATGAGTGACGGTATGAATAACGACATAAAGAAGCTGCTTGTTCAAAATTGGAGAGGGAGAGTACTTAATAAAGTGGAAAGACGCCAAGTCTCACTTGTAAAGCTCCAAATATTTTCCGTAGAACTTATCATTCAAATGTAGTAAGAAGTTGTTCGTTTGTAAACACAAAGCCCTAGTAACCGCTAGGGTCCAGGATTCGCATCCATATATTACCACTTATCTAATAAGGCTTTTATATATAGCTAGTTTTAAATGTTTACTCAATTTTAGTACCCAGCGCTATCTTATTTTCTGATGAATTATCACATTGAACAATATAACCAACAGCATCACCCTGTCGCACGCCAGTATTAATGCTAATAATAGATAATAGCACTCCGTCAGCTCTCACTGCAGCCTTGAAACAATTAAGGCTAAGGTTGCTTCTATAAATCTGACATATTTCATCGATATTCCTAATAGAAGGAATATTAGCTAAAGATGCAGGAAATGCACGAGTTGTGGAAGGTGGAAGCAATTTTACACAGGATATTTCTAATATTTTACTTAGAACTTCACTATTCGATCGAAACCCCACTTTTAATTTGCAGCTTCTAATAGAATTTCAAATCGATTTCAAATAAATACAAAAATGTTAGGTTCCAATTCTAATTGTAAATTCGACTGAAAATGATCAAGTATATAATAAACTAGAATAAAAAATACAAACAAGACATCCGTTTTGAAAACATTATCAAAACCGGTACAAAAACTATATTGGCATACCAAGAATTTAATTATTTGACCAACATTCAGCGACGTTGACCAATAAATTTTTATTTCTGAACATTACGTTGGATAATAAACTAAATCTAAGCTAAAAGTCACACTGACCGAATTTAATAAAAACAAGACCATAAACCAGCTTATGTTCTGTTCAATGCACCTTTTCTGACATTTCGGCGTTGACCTCTTTCCGGATTACTTCAGGGCTGAAATTAAAAATTACGGATTTAAGAAATAAGTTTCTATATTTTCTAGTATTTATAAAATTTGTGACTAAAATTATTCCCAATAAACGATGTAGTGCTTTTAGACGAAACCATATCACTAAACTTACCAATTTATAATGTAAAATATTTTTTGGTGGTTGAACACCTGCATTGTCTAAAGGCAAGAAACATTTTACATCGTCCGGTAGAGTACCAAAGTTCTTGTCCTGAGTATCCCAATAATGTTACCATGTTTGTTTTTAGGTTGGCAATTTTTAGTAGGCTTTTATGGTTTGAGTAGGCTGCTTATAAAAGATTAACTGCTATTTGCAGCATACTTAATACTTCTGGCTGAAGACTAGTCCCTAAAGGTGAATTATCAATCCTGGAAGCATTCGAGATTCCTTTAAAGACATGTAAGACCATTCTAAAATTTTAGATACAGCAGAATCGTGTGCTGGAGTTGATGCTTCATCTGTTGTACAGACGAAGTCGATCATCATATCATCTTTTTTCAAACACTTTTAATTTGCATCCATGTATATGTTGTTCTTGTAATATTGCGATAGATCTTAAGCTTCGATTGTCTGCCTAGTAATTTCTTCAGTGATATTTGTTGTGTTTACTCATAATCCCAAACAAATAAAACTTTGTACTTGTTCAAATGAGTAATATCTTAAAGTGAACCGCTCTGAGTCACTTCTTCTGGGTCTTATATATATTTTCTTTTGGATTCGTTAGTTTTGGAGTCCTACTTTTGAGGCTTATTTTATAAGTTGAGAACATTTTTCCCTTAACTCGCAATAAATTTATAAATAATAAATAAAGAGAAAAGTGTTAGTGTGAGTTGAGTTAATAAGATATTTGTGGAGGAAGATTGGGGATGCTGTTGGAAAAGAATGGGAAGTAGCTGACATTATTGGCTTAGTAAGATAGGTATCAGAAATGCAAGAAGTGTAGGAAATCAACAGGAATGAGAAAATTACTGAAAATTGAACAAAGCAGAAGCAAAACCATGATCAACAAGATTATGGAGGATCTATTCAAGCTTTTAAAAGTTTATAATTACTTGAGAGTAGAGCTAACCAACCTTGGCGAAGAAGAGGGGGAGATGCGGTAAACGAGTATGTTGGTTAACAAAACATTTTTTCAATTTCAAGCATATACAAGTAAAGAACGGTACACTACAACGTTATAGCCCTCATCACCTATGGATTTTAGCTCAAAAACTAACAAACGATATTGATATATTTGAATTTTATGGTCAATTAAAGAAAATAATACCACCTCATGGAACCAGAGCCAACCAACTACATCAGAATCCAGAGAGTGTAATGGGTGGGTTATGTTTCAAGGATGCCTAGAATATTAATAAACAACAAATTGAAACAGTGAGACCAAAAAGCATTTCATGGAAAAGATGGGAAGAGACGCTTTATATTGAAGGGAAATACTAAGATGCAGGAAATGGAAAAGGGAAGCTAGAGATAGAGAAGTATGCATGCTAAAATCGAAGCATTCCAAGGTTCGACAGCAAATTGCAACATCACAAAAGAAAGGCAGAAAGATCCTTAAGTAACTGGAATGTTAAAAATAAACAAAATTACAAATGATTTAAAATATTTAACTTGTATCCTCGTTAATCATTATAATTTGATTTATTATCATTATATTTGTTACAAGTATATCAAAAAATCTTTACAAAATGAATTTCATTAACATTTTTTTTTATTTTTATGTTTTGTGTGCTACATTTTATTTTAATAAGGTCCTGATCACCACCAACTTTTATCGTGCATTTATACGTGACCTGACGTTGAGGGTTTTACAAACCAGTGGCAGGTGTTTTTACCCCAACCAGGTAGATCTCGTGTAAACGCAAAACATTTCGCT